TGTTTCAAAACCTTTGCATAGTTCTTTTGGGGGGGAACTGTTCAAATGGGCAGTTGGAAGGTCCTCGTTTTTTCTTTTTCATAAAAAGCCTGGAAGCATTCTGCTCTAATATTACTGTTCCCTCGTGGGGGGCAAATTTAAATTGTGGATGAAGCAGGGAAATACAAAAGCTCCAAATTTGATTGGTTTAAGGTACATCTAAGCTTTTTCATATTCTTTTTTTTTTTACTCAAATTTAGCTTGGATTTTTTTACTTTCCACAATTACAAAAAAAAAAACATAATTCATTGTTTCTTTATAAATATGGAAAAAAAGGGGTCTATAACAATTAAATTTATAATAAATTAAAAGCACTCACATTAAGGTTTTTTACATTTGTTACATGTGTAAGTGTTTTTTTCCATGGATGTGCTTTAATGGGCTAAAATGGTGTGGTAACTAGCGCTTAACAACTTAGCTGTTAGCGGCTAGGTTGCTAAGTTATTGGGGGCTTACTTGACCATTGGGTGTTAATATTTTTCATCCGGAAGAAAAACCCTTCTCTCGTTGGGAATTTGAGGGGAAATTTCTCATTTCTGCGAATGTGGGGGTCTTTATTCCGTTTCAAAACAAAATCAGAAAAACAAATTTTCCATTCGTTTATTGGTATTTTCCTTTTCTAAATCAAATTGGAAAATCAAATCCTTTATGCTTCAATATCAATGTGTTTGTTTTGGCTCTAGTTGTTTAAATTCTCAAAAGAATTATGGCATTACTATTATTTCGTTTTATTATTATTTCGTTTTATTATTATTTGCGACACCGGAAGAGAGAAGAGACCTCAGATCAGAGCCGCCGTTCAGCAAGTTTTAGGAGATTTTGATGGCTTCCCTCCAGCCTTATACACATTTAATTAGGAGACTTTTTAAAAATGGGGCAACACATGCAGAGATCAGTGATGCTTTATATTGCCACGGAGCGAATGGTTGCTCAGAAATATCGGTGAGGAGATTCTGCTTGGAAAACGACCTTAGACGTCGAAATCATGTTTCCGACGCAGATCTGGAAACTGCAATGATCTCTTCAATTCATCAGGTATGTGCAGTATGAACCTACATTATTACGGCCCCGTTCCTTTCAGTAAAACGACTGTAGTAAATGCACACTGCGTAAATGCGCTACTTTTGTAATATGTAAACAAAGTCCTGCCATTTGGTCTGTGATACATAGCCTTCATTTGCGCTTTCCCATACGTACATGGCCTTCTGTGCAGACTGTGACAAGGGCTTTAATATTTGATTTAAAGTCTAGAAACATATGCATATTACAGACAGGCCCGTCATATGGACGAAAGTTTATGACTGGATATTTGACGTCCATTGGAGTATGTGCTGGTGAACGCCGAGTGGGGAGAGTATTGAGAGAGGTGCACCAGCCTTACCACAATTTGCGACAACGTGTAAGTGCCAGATGCAAATGTGTAAGCTTGTCACAAGTGTAAATATTGTGACACAATGTGTTGAGAATGGTGGTATGTATATTTGTTAATATGTATGGTTAATATCTACTTTAAAGGGTGCTCGGAACTTGAATCCCATCCCCTACCATGCAGAATACATGGGACACAAGATTCACCTGGACCAGAATGAAAAGTTGGTGATGTTTGGTGTCACCCATGTTGTGGCAGTGGATGGCTACAGCTCAAAAATTGTTGCATATGCCACAATGCCTGTTAAAAATAACCTCACTATTTATGAAGAAGTGTACAGGTTGGTAAAACTATGCTTAGCATTTAGACTCTGAAACCCCTTATGTCCCACTCTTCTTTTCACTGTGACTCATCTATCTTTGTACTCACTCACCTTTCTCTCACCTGTACCTGCATCCCAAAGAGTGAGCTGTTTGTGGCACACTCCTTTGAATTTTTTTTGGACCTCACTCTCTTACACACATTTTCTCTATTCTCTACTGTTTGGTAAGCTAGTAATGTTTTTTTTTTTTTTTTGATAGACCTGCAGTGGCGACACATGGTATGTGGGATCAAGTGCGTGTGGACCATGGGAAGGAGTTTTACCTATGCCTGTATATGCAGGAAATCCTTTCCAAATACCGCTTCAATGTTAGTCGGCAGCCCTATGCCCAGACTACGTCAACCAAGGTGCTTACTATACTCTTGTCATTCATTGATTGGCTGTATTATGACAGACACAGTACTAGGGCGGAGTAATTCATTGCAAATTTGTTATCTAAGTTAGGTGCTCTAACATTACATGTAATTATGAAATTATAAGTAGTGACTTCTTAATTTTAATGTAAATAATAATGTTTAATCTAACTTATTAGCAGCAAAAAAGTTTCAAAAAGTGGTAATCTAGATTTAATGTTATAAATATTATTTATAAGCAAGTCCATGACCACTTTTTAAAACCTTTTCTTATTCAGCTTGCATGTAAAGGAACATACACACTCACTATTTTTCTTTTGTTCCTTGTAGAATCTTAGGGTAGAGCGAATTTGGCCGGAGGTGAACAACCGTGTGAATTATCCATTGAAAGCGGCTTTAGTACACCTCGTCGACCAGGAAACCCTGGACATGCAGGATGACCGCATAAAATTTTGTGTGTCAAACTTAACCTGTCTTCTCAGCCAGATTGGCTTACAGCGAGTTGTAAATGCATGGAATGCACACAGGATTCCAGGTAAGCAACCATGATAACTTATGGTTCCCTAAAGTCAAATTTGACTTGCACACATAGTACACTATTATAGTACAATTATGGAGCTTGAAAAACTAGTGAAATGTTACAGGTCCCTTTACTAAACACTTGCATAAATAAATCTAAATTTTACTTATTGAAAACGAATCTATAAAATATGACTTAATGTAGGACTTCTTTAAACAACATAAGCAAAGAATAATGAACAAATAAGACTTAATACAAAAACATACATTTAAATGATTATAAATGACAGAACAAACACACAACCCAACTCTCTGCACACACGCATGTGTTCAGGTAGGAGGGTTTGATGGAGAAGTGGGTGGTCAAGGGCTGTAGATTAAAACTACTACATTTGAACTCCCCATGCAGGTTCCTGTTAAAATTTTTATGTCTGTGTTCTTCTTGTTTGAAGATCACCGTTAGTGCAATATAATTCTGTGGCCCTATGCATAAACCTGATATACACATGAATGTTAATCAAAACTGAGGTTAAAAGTAACACTATGTTCATTAATGAAATGTATTCAAGTATTTGTGGTCTATCAGGTTCATGCATGGGGCCACAGAATTGCCTTTTCGATCATGGCAATTAATCGTATAAATGTTTTATTTCTAGGACGAGGAGTACCTAATGATTTGGCGTCTGGAGGAAGTTCTGCCAAAATTGCACAAGACCTTTTGCCCAGTGCCTCTGTTGCTGCTGCTCACTATGAACAGGATTTGGGCTCTTCCTTAACAACTGAATCAGTCTTTGGTGTAGACCCATTTCAAAATGAAATGGACAGGATTCATGCTGAAGAGGACTTTAGGGTCGCTTACCCAGATTTGTCTGTTATTGTTGACAATGTTGCTAATTTCGAATATACAGATTTTAATGAAGCACTTTTTTGCTTGCTCCATGCAACTGAAAGGCATGCTTAAGTAGGCGGGTAGTATTTTATAAGCATGTGTACAGTACACAATAAAAAATGTACTTCAGTAAATGTCAATGTTGTAAAAGCTGCATGTTCACATAAAATAGATTTAGTTTGTTAAATGTACCTTATTCTTCAGAATTAAAAAATTTATGGAACCGTCTTTGAGTATGAAAGTAAATTTGAAACGCTGATACTCGTATTTTTACATACTTTAAGCTCAGTCATAGTTTACTTATTGTAGAAACAGGTTTGAGTCATTCGTAGACTGTAGGACATTTAGCTTCTCAGTGGACAAGCTTGCTTGTGAAATGTCCCACATTGTACTAGAGTACAGATGCCTAAAGAACTTTTATATCTGTACTAAAGTAAATTAATTGAATACTTCTTCCTTCAACAGACTCACTGGGAAAATATCCAAATGTGTTAATACACTATAGTAACTGAATTGTGTTAAAATACACAGGATTTACAGCCATGAATTGAAATGTATTTATATCAAATGTTAGAACATTGGTAACAAAACTGGCATAACTTAAGAATACTCTATACAAGCATTTTCCCAACACCTCAGTAAAAGAAAATTGTAATAGGTGTAACAAGGGGGAATAAAAAATATACAATCACATAATAAAAAGTGATCATGATAAATGTGGATTAATATGGTATACTTAGTATTGCACATATCCCCAAACATAATGTAAACTTGGTAAAAACATTTTGAACATTTAAAGGGATATTTCAGGATTTTTGACACAGGGCCTCATTTCCTAATTATCCAGTGTTGTTGATTTCTGGGGATTTTTTTTTCTTCTTAAATTCATGCAGTTCTTATATTTGAAGAGTCTGGTGGTGCTAGGCTAGGGCTAGGCCAAAGCATTTCTATGGTATCAGTTAGCCTGCATTAAAACAAGTCTGACCCACTCCACAGTGCACCTGAGGAAATCACTTATAACGCCACACTAACCATATAAAGGTCTGTCGATAGAATAATTTGAACAATTTTGCATTTAAAATAACATTTGAGCAGCATCAGCTTTGTGGTTGTAAGCTAACGCAACGGAGTGATCTGCCAGAAAATAGTCCCTCAAAATGCGGTATTGCATGCGATACAAGGCCAGTTATATCTCAAAAATTATTCTATTAACACAGACATTTATATGGTTAGTCTGGTGTTATAAGTGATTTTCCTCCGGTGCACTGTGGAGTGGGTCAGACTGTTTTTAATGCAGGGTTGCTGATACCATAGAAATGCTTTGGCCTAGCGCCACTAAGCTCTTTAAATATAAGAACTGCATGAATGTAAGAGAAAAATATCGCCCTATGTCAAAAATCTTGAAATATCGCTTTAACCATACCAATTTAACGTGAAGTCAATGATCATTCAGGAAATAATATTGTGAAGTGCTGTGAGGGCATCGTCCAGCCCCACAACAGACTGGATGTGGAAAGAAAAATCATCGGTCCGGCACTTGGGACAGTGTGCATGACCATCCTGCCACTGATCCAAACAGGCTCTGCATCCAAGTACGGTGGTACAACAGCTTGCAAACATTGGATCCTTCATGGGGTCTGTAAGATATATGCAGTACAAGAGTGAGAAGGAGCTTTGTTCAAGCCTTATGTTCAATTAAAGATGGAAGTATGACAAAGTGACAGAGACCTATATGTAGAAATTTGAAATCACAAGGACTACAAGAAATTAGGGAATAGGCAAGGTTATGAGGAGCAGATGATTCACTGAAAACTTCAGAACATAACAATAAAAGTCAAACAACAAATACAAGTACCTCTACAAATGACACAAGAAAAGGCTGCTTTTACAGCAGCAGCCTGGTCTTCGCTGAGGCTGACAGTTGTGTACTTGTTTCCTCTGACAAATGCCACAAGGTCTTTCAGTGACTTGGATACTTCCTGCAAACCTTGGGATGCCAAAAGGACCTCCTCAATTTGGTCCAACACCTCTGGAAGGGCACTACTGTCACCATTTCGACTGAAAATGTATAACATGGTATATTTAACACTCAAGTAACAATTAAGAAGCAAATGTAAAAGCTACTTTACCTTTCTCTCTTTCGCTTATTCCCCCTGAGCCTTTGTAGTTGTTCTTCTGGAACAGCGTAAATTTTCCTTGCATTCTGTTTCCAGAAGCCAGGTCCTACAAAGTAAAAAATACTTAGTTCAGACTTGTTTTTCTTTAATTTACTCAATATCTGTATTTTTATTTTATTTTATTGTACCCCTTGTTCCTTCACAGTCCATTATCTCATTATGATGGCTGTCTATCAGCACAATGGACTGCTCTTGGCCAAGGGCCTCAAACACTTTGGCCTTAATTGTTGGGAGAGATGACTCAAATTCTGAAAATTTGAGGGTTACGGTTTTATGGGTTTCTAGTCTTCCATCAACAAGCTCGGCTATAAAAACATTCCTACAAACAAAGGATCAAGGTTATGCACCAACTGGATAAAAAGTTGAAATACAATTTCCAGCACTTTAATAAATGTAGTTTTACCTTTGTAACATCTTTGGTCCAGCTGCTTTTGAAGCCTGAAAACCTGCTGGACTAGTGGTACTACTAGCACTGAATGGGCGGCGAAAAGCAAAGCGGGCAGGAGTTTGCTGGTTGGAGGTAGATGGGGGGCCTTCACCAGGTTCTCCATCATTTGTGCTTTCGCCGTACACTTCATAGTGGCCACCACCCAGTAGCTCCAGGTTGTCAAATGCACCGCCCTGATCGGGCAATATTACCTTGTTGTGGTCGTCAATCAAATAAACGGTGTCAGCACGGCCCTATTCGCAAACATAGAAGGGTGTAATTAAGTTATGATTATATAGATACTTGCAATGTGTGCTGATGCAAAGCAGACTTCTGTCTTTTTTCATTTTTAAAACTACTAAAATTCAACAATGTTCCGTACTTAACTTGTTTTTAAATCATACATAGTTCCAAGCTTAAATTGTGCTAATTACACGTGCCGCCGATAAATCCATGGCCGGCACGTGTACGCGTAAAAGTGTCTTCTCCAAATAAACATAGTTAAAAACAACTCACCTGAAATATCATGGCAATTTTGTTGGTGGTAACGTCATCTGGACTAGAAGAAATCCGTCTACCGCGTCTGAATAAAACGTGATTATCCATTTTGCTTGTCGCGCGAGTTGTTGTCTTGTAGTTGTTTCCGTCTCTCACCACTCATCATTTCCGGTAGCATATCAAACAAAATAATGGAAGTTGTTTTAGTTGTGTTTGTTTCCACTGCATAACAAAGAAATGGGTGAATATTTCATTTAGAATGTTTTGATTTTCCAATTTGATTTAGAAAAGGAAAATACCAATAAACGAATGGAAAATTTGTTTTTCTGATTTTGTTTTGAAACGGAATAACTAATGATCGAAGGGTACACGGATTACACGGATTACACGGATTATAAAGGATTTGATTTTCCAATTTGATTTAGAAAACAAAAATACCAATAAACGAATGGAAAATTTTATTTAGAAACGGAATAACTAATGATCGAAGGGTACACGGATTAAATCCGTGTATCATTCGTTCATTTGATTTTCCATTTGAAACCAACATAAGAAAAACGGATAACCACTGTTTTTTTTTGTTTTTCATGCTTTAAAACAAAAACGAAAACTTGAATAACGCTCAATTTTTCGAATTTATAATTTGTCAATTAAAAGGAAAAATGATCAAACGGATAACAAGCGTATAAACTCAGTTTTTGCGAATTTGTTTGATACGCAGAGTTACCCGGAAGTAGTTAGCTAGTTAGGCTAGCTAGGGACTCGGGAGCAGTGTTGCCAACTTAGCGACTTTGTCGCTAGATTTAGCGACTTTTCAGACCCCTATAGCAACTTTTTTTCAAAAAAGCGACTAGCGACAAATCTAGCGACTTATCTGGTGTTATTGGCGACTTATCTGGTGTTTTGGCGACTTATCTGGTGTTTTGGAGACTCGTGAAGCACGTATTGTTCTGCTGTCCTCAACGTGAGCCCCTCCCCCGTCCCAAAGCACTTACAGGCGGCCAGTCTCACAGTAGCCTTGCGCAGCAGTCCCAGCTACAGTCTATGGGCGGAGCAGAGAGAGAGAGAGGAGACTCAAAAGCACAGGAAGTTTTCAGGCTGCTGCAGACTGAACTTCAGCTCCACCACCACCACACATCCAAAGCTCCCCGGCCACTCCTACCACCGCCACCCCCCACTACCCCCCACTCCATCCGCGGCAGCTCTGTCCGTGACTCTGTTTTCTCTCAGTAGTGGGTCACATTAAATCATTTGTTATGCCAAACTATGAAAAAAAAAAAAAAACTTACAAAAATAAACCTAAGTAACTCTGCCAGAGTGTGTCTTTTGGGTCACTTTTCCGGTCCCAAGCCCGGATAAAGGAGGAGGGTTGGTTGTAGAGCTAGAAATTTCACCCTACATAACAATCTTTTGATTACATTTGCTGTTATAACATTTAACAATACAGGACAAAACTGATGTGTGTAATGTGGATCTAGACAAAGCATTAAAATCATTAAATGTTGTTAATGTTGAAATTATTTTTGCACATTTGTAGTTCTAAACATATTTAGGGTGTTTTTACTCACTTTTGTCTCTCCCACGACCTTATTCCTCTCTCCTACAGCGTCCGTTACAGTTATTTGCAAATGGCAAATTATGCAAATTAGGCGATGACGTCATTTAGCGACTTTCAGCGACTTTTGGGACAGCCAATAGCTACTTTCCTTACTGAGGAGTTGGCAACACTGCTCGGGAGTAGCCGGAGGATCATTTCGCTGTCTGTGGGCACACACGATGGATTGCTTCGTACTTTTCCGAGAAGGCAAAAGGCTAACTCTTAGGTCAGAAGACATGACAACGGAGAAAATTTTCAACATATTTCAGGTAAGTAGCTATGCCTTAATTATTTCTTTTCACAACAACGTCGTAACTGTATAGCATGATGCTTAGCTCAGTTAGCTTAGCATAGTGTGGCTATGGCTGCTTGCTTGTCATCAAAATATCCTTTTCTAATACTTTTTAATGTTTGTAGGTGCAAAGAGATAGTGTCTATCTCACTGATGACAATAATGTTGCCATATTTCCACGATCCGATGGTGACTTCAACTGCTATGACATGGTCAGATGTCATGTCTGATATAGAGGAGATAATTGAAGCAGCGCAAGGACTGAAGGACGTTTCTAAAATGATCAAGGATTTGAGTGGTCAGGCACATGCCACCCTTACAACAACATTGACCCTATCAGAGACCGAAATAGCATCTATAAGGGCTGGATTTTCCTGTTTGATCTGCAAAGGTTTGTAAATGCTGACTACAATCTGTTGCTGTACAGGATTACAGTAAGTTAAGTCTGTTTAACACGTATTTATTTAAAGGTCCTCTGAACAAACCAGTCTTCTCAACATGCTGCAGAAGCTTCATTGGTTGCAGTAGATGTGTTGAGGAGTGGAAGCAGAGCCATGATTACTGCCCAAAGTGTCGAGCTGATAACTTGGAGAGCAGTATTCATGATGTGGCAGGACTGGATCAAGCACTCGCACCACTTGAAAAGCTGTTATAGTTTCCTATTTTAAAGTGACATAGATTATTGAATGTTCAAATTACTGTTTAAAAGTGATCAATAGAAAACTAAAGCAAATAATTGAGCAAGTACATTCATATTTAATGATCATTCATTGGCACCATGTTTGTTGTCATTCTTTTATAAACCATGTTAAAGCTGCTGTTAAAATTGCACTTTTCATTGCAATGACATGTGAACTAGCTAAATTTGAATCCTGTTGGATTGTTTACATACTGTATTCAAGTTTGTTACAATACATACTGTGGTTGAGTGTTCAATAATGTTAAAAGTTATACTTCAGTGTAATAAAACTATTGATGTCTTAAAAGAAATAGCCTATTTCTCAAACTTTACACTACAAGAACAAATGTAATCACAACTTACAAGCAGGTCTAAGCAGAGTCTGAACTAGAGAACGTATGTATGATACTGTATATCACTCAGTGGTCTGAACATGATAAATATCAGAAACTACCTGAACCTCAAACACTAAATGAACTACTCCGAGTATCACTTAAATGTCATACTAATAGTGGTCCCCATGCCACACTCAGTTACTAAAATAAGGCAATGTAAAAATGACAAAGCAGTTTTAGCACTGTGCCTTTTACTTTTGTACTTAAAACATTGTACCAAACAAACATTTAACTATTGCACAGGATAATCAAATACTTAAGCATACCTGTCTGTTACATTTATAAGATAAAACAGCGCCTCTTGAAATTGTCTGTGTTCGTAGTTAACAGCGTCATCAAACAGTACAGCGATGTCAGGAAAGGTTTGTCCAAATAGTTGCTCTGCATGGCATCTATCTTGCTCAGATGAAAATGGATCTTGTGAAGGAAGATACCCAGGTGAGAGAAGACCCCAGTTCCTGCTCATACATGTGTGCTGCCTCAGAAGCATCAGCCATCAACTCAATTGGGATTCTAGAGGGGCAGCCAGCTGCTGCAAGTTGGTTCGGTATCCCTCTGCCTAAAATTCAATTTGATATTTACATAGTAAATGAGTCAGTTGGATATGTTACATGCTATTGCTTAATATCATACCTGGTATTCTATGGGCATTCCAGGACTGTACGACTCTGCCCAATCCAATTTGGCTCACTTGACATACCAGGTTGGACACACAAAATTTTGTTGTATTATCCTCCAAACTCAGCATCTCTTGGTCCTGAAGGTGAACCAATACTCTTTTAAGTGGATAGTTCACTCGGTTATTGACCTCTGGCCAGATTCTTTCCACACGAAGATTCTGTTCAAAATAAAAACATTTTATGTCATACACACAAAGTCAGCCCACTATGCTCTACACCAGGTCTAAACCAGTTCCAAACTAGAACAGGGTGTAAATTAGTTAAGAGTTAGTTACTAAACCTTTGAGTCCGTATATTGAGTGTAACATTTTGGAAATTATGTTCATATGTTAATAACATTTCATAATATAACATAATTTATTGCTCAAATAAAATAATTGAATTGAAACCTGGTCTTGAACAGGACTAACCTGGGCTAAACCAGGACAAAACAAGGTCTAAACCAGGATTAAGTCAGAACTAAACTGAACTTCATCAGATTATGAAAACTTGCACAAGGGTCATTGAATATAACTGTTTACCCTTGAAGAGGTTGTTTGTACATAAGGTGGTCTGCTTCTGTTGTATCTGTGTCGTGAAAGCTTGTCTTGCACATAAAGCGTGAGGTAAAATTCACGACCATGATCCACTCTGAGTTGGTCCCACATCCCATGGGTTTCAACTGCCGCTCTGAAAAACAATGGTGTTTAATATACATTTACAATATACTACTACTACTTGCACTTTTTGAGCTGTCTGTAAACCTGTTGGCATTTTAACGCATTAACAACTGTGACTCCATCTGGCCTTTGTAAAAATGTAATGTAGATTTGTTAAATTAAACTAACCTGTAAACCTGGTCATAAATTACTAGGTTGTTCTTCACAGGCATTGTGGCTTGAGCAACAATTTTACTGCTGAAACCATCAATTGCCACAACATGTGTTGCTCCAAACATTCCTAGTTTTTCATTTTGATCTATATGCAATTTGTGTCCCATGTATCCAGCATAATATGGAACAGGATTTAAATTTCTTGCACCCTAAACAGATACAACATAACACATGTCATCAGTTAAAAAAAATATTTACTGTAGTATTTTTACACAAGATGAAAGGTTGTGACTGCAGGGGCGCTGCATTTTAATGTACTACAGTGTACAGTTTGGACGAAAATATTTAGCTTCTATATGCATGCACATAAATTCATATCTGGGTAGTACTGTTCTACTCACCATTATTATTATTTTTCAATTCCCACACTACAAAGTTCTGCTCATTGCCAAATAAGTGTAAATGCTCAACTTTGCCCCCTACAGTCACAATTATATAACAAAATACATAGATAAATAAACACAGACGTGTTTATTTATCTATGTATTTAAATAAAGTTATTAGAGGCTTACCCGACGACGTAACTCGTTGTATGGCTGGTGTACCTCCCTCAGAATCTTGCCCACCCGACTCTCTCCTGTTCTCACCCCAACTGATGACAGATAGCCGGTCATGAACTTGCGTCCATAGGATGGGCCTGTCTATCAACACCCCAGACAATTTCATTGTTTAACCCATGTAAATTAGCTATATTAAAATGTGAAACACACATGTGGAGCAAAAATCAGCAATACCTTCTCTATGGACGACGTGATCGCAATTTCAAGCTGAGCGTCTGTCACATGTCGTTTTCGTTGCAGCTGGTGGTTCAAACAGAACCTTCTTACGGACATTACGGAACATTTTGACAGACCGAGTTTCTGTAAGGAGGTTGATATTTCGGCATGCGTTTGGCCGCTTTCAAAACAACGTGTTATTATGTCAGCAAAAGCCTCTAAACCTGCCATTGTGCGTCTTAATTCTCCCGGGCCTTCCTCCCGGGCCTCCGGTCTTCTTCTACGTTTGTTTACCTGCAAGCTCACGTAAAACTACTTCCGGGTGAACTCCGCGCATCAAACGAATTTGAAAAAAATAAGTTAGGATGCCTGTTATTCATGTTTTACACACTTGGTTTAATTGAGGAATATAAAATAACAAAAACAAAAACGTATCACATTTTCTAATTAGTTTAAAAAAAACAAATTATGAAAAAACAAGTGGTTATCCGTTTTTCTTATGTTGGTTTCAAATGGAAAATCAAATGAACGAATGATACACGGATTGGATTACAAGGGATGTTTTTGATTCTCAATATTTGAATTTAATGCAAAATTGAAATATTGGTTTGTTTTTTTGTTTTCTGTGGATCCAATTAAAACGAAAATGCAGTAAACCAATAATGACCGTCTAAATTACATTTTGCGATTTTCCTTTGAAACACAAACATCCCCCGGAAGTGATTCGAAAGTGCGCGTTTGTCACGAGACCAGGAAGTGTCGCCTCCAGGTACCATGGATGTATTATATTAGGTACTTGGATCGCACCTTGTTAGCGCTGGCTGTAGGAGAAATGTCTCTTAAAACTCTCCTCAACATCAGTCAGATTACCAGCTTTTTCGTTCGCTGCTGCAGAGACCATCGCAGATGAGAATTCTCAGATTCACGAGAGAAGGGGTTCTTCGATGAAAAATATATACACAAGTGTCAAGGTAAGACATAACTTAGCAACTAGCGCTAACAGCTAAGTTAGCGTTAGCTCCGACAAACATGAAACACTTAGCGTTACACATGTAACAAATGTACCTAATGTGAGTGCTTTATTATTATAAATGTAAGTTATAGACTTTCATATTATATAAGAACATGATATGTTTGTGTATTGGTGAAAGTAATCATGCTAAATTTTAGTAAATAAAAGATGATGCTAGATGTACCTTAACCATTCAATTGTGCTTTGTTTCTGCTTCATTCTCAATTATTGTCGAGGGACAGTAGTTAGAGCTAGATGCTTCAGGCTTATGAAGAGAAACGAGGAGCCCTCAGACTGCCAGTTTGAAACAGTCAGAAAGACTGCAGGTTTGAAACAGTCAGAAAGACTGCAGGTTTGAAACAGTCAGGAAGACTGCAGGTTTGAAACAGTCAGAAAGACTGCAGGTTTGAAACAGTCAGGAAGACTGCAGGTTTGAAACAGTCAGAAAGACTGCAGGTTTGAAACAGTCAGAAAGACTGCAGGTTTGAAACAGTCAGAAAGACTGCAGGTTTGAAACAGTCAGAAAGACTGCAGGTTTGAAACAGTCAGAAAGACTGCAGGTTTGAAACAGTCAGAAAGACTGCAGGTTTGAAACAGTCAGGAAGACTGCAGGTTTGAAACAGTCAGGAAGACTGCAGGTTTGAAACAGTCAGAAAGACTGCAGGTTTGAAACAGTCAGGAAGACTGCAGGTTTGAAACAGTCAGAAAGACTGCAGGTTTGAAACAGTCAGGAAGACTGCAGGTTTGAAACTGTCAGGAAGACTGCAGGTTTGAAACAGTCAGAAAGACTGCAGGTTTGAAACAGTCAGGAAGACTGCAGGTTTGAAACAGTCAGATAGACTGCAGGTTTGAAACCGTCAGAAAGACTGCAGGTTTGAAACAGTCAGGAAGACTGCAGGTTTGAAACAGTCAGAAAGACTGCAGGTTTGAAACAGTCAGAAAGACTGCAGGTTTGAAACAGTCAGAAAGACTGCAGGTTTGAAACAGTCAGAAAGACTGCAGGTTTGAAACAGTCAGAAAGACTGCAGGTTTGAAACAGTCAGATAGACTGCAGGTTTGAAACAGTCAGAAAGACTGCAGGTTGGAAACAGTCAGAAAGACTGCAGGTTTGAAACAGTCAGACTGCAGGTTTGAAACAGTCAGAAAGACTGCAGGTTTGAAACAGTCAGAAAGACTGCAGCTTTGAAACAGTCAGAAAGACTGCAGGTTTGAAACAGTCAGAAAGACTGCAGGTTGGAAACAGTCAGAAAGACTGCAGGTTTGAAACAGTCAGAAAGACTGCAGGTTTGAAACAGTCAGAAAGACTGCAGGTTTGAAACAGTCAAAGCCGCTGGGCTCATGTTCAGTTTGAGTTCCTGTCCTGATAGAAGACTAGCATAGCATCTTTCTGTTTGGTGGTTACTATTTCTCTTATAAAGTTATAAAGTCAGCAGGACTTTATAAGATAGTTAAGTTGTAACAAGTAATAATTATGTCTGTTCTAAACCCACTTTTCTGTTTTAGATCTCACTGGGTGTGCAGCAGGTAAAGGTTTCAGACTTCACACTACTCCCAGCCTTGGCCTGTACCAGTGATCTGCAAAGCTCTCCAGCTGGTCCTGGCCTGTACCAGTGATCTGCAAAGATTGGATGTGTTTATGTCAATGCAATAAAATTAATAACTGATCTACAAATCTCCTTTTTGTTCCTTTACATTTTAAACTTTCAACTCGTGTTTATCATTGTAAATTTATGTTACAAAATTAGAATCATTGCATGAAAAAGCACGTACTCATCAGTGTACATTATGTTCTGTCACATTTGAAAGTGTAAAAACTGTTCTTAAATCCAGTTGTCCTGGTCTTAATGGGCATTACACACGCAGTGACCTCACAGATAGAGATGTAAACTGTATGGTCAATCTAACATGCTGGTTATGAAGTCTAACGTGTTCTGTGAATGTAAAAACCTCCTTGTTCCAGTCTTTTTGGGCTCCTTTATTCACAAACCAACTGTGGCGGAGCTACAAGCAGGTCAGTCTGCAGAGGTTAACAGTTTCCTATGACTCAATGAGGATGCTGCTGAAGATCCCAGACACAGTCGTCCAGTCAGATGTTTGCTGAGTGCAGGGAGCGCTCCTTTCCTACGTCACTGCTACTATCGGTTTATGTGTGGAGTCATGATGGTACCTAATAGTATTGTACAGTCCCTGGTTTGCCCTTACATTAGCTCAGTCAGGTTCACTTCTAAACTTTGGAGTCACTGGCTTCTTTGTATGTGTGACTTGCTGTAAATATGTGATTATGTGTCTTTTTAACACAGCTTTTTTGTTGTTGTATTCTTTCATTCTTAGCTCTGGATCCTGTGCTTGCATGTAAGTCCTTAGTAAAGTCTAAATAAAATTGGACCCATGTTGCTGCTGAAAGGAAGTCTGAGGTGTAAGTTGTTCTGTAAAGGTACATTCAAATACACAACTTGTCATTTTACAGTCTTGTTTAGTTAAGAATGTCATTTCCTAATTCATAAATCTATTGATACATAATCCACTAATAGTTAGTATTTGTTTTAACGGGTTTTCCATTGCGATTCAACACAATTTAGAAAAAAAATGTACAGAATTGTGTCCAAGTGTGTTTTAATTTAGGAACAAACTAATCAAAAATATTTACACTGGAACAGACACACAGAAGATTTACATACATGATGAATTTAGTCTTTGGCCTTCATAATTTGCCAAAACACAACAAGCTGTGATTCCTGAGCCTCGGGAGACAGAATCCCTCTTGAATGTTGCAATAAAATTATTCCAGGAAAAAGAGATGGAGCAGCAATAGTTTTAAGGCGGCTGATATGTAAAAAAAAAAAATATATGTATGTATATATTGGGCAGGAACATGATCCATGTTTAATGAATACAATACTCAGAATACCTTTCTGTGAGCCACTTCAAAAAGTTTGCTTTCGTGATTAACCACTGTATCAAAGAGAAGGGACATGACTCAGCTGATGACTTGACATTTGGACAAACCTAGTCGGTGTAACGTGGTTGATATTTCTGCATATGTTTGAATGTTTTAGAACCATTCTATTGCTGTATCTGCAAAGTCTTCCAACGCACCCATCATTTAGTTCATCTCCACCGCTACTCCACTGTTTACCTGCGGGGTGTGCACTTGCGAATCACTTCCGGGGGATTCTTGTGTTTCAAATGGAAATCGCAAAAAGTAATTTAGACGATGTTGTATATTTTAAATATACACTAAACAGATGTGACAATATTTGACCATTTGAACATCATAGCCAAAAAAGACCTGTGCCCTCAGGTCTTAAGTCACAAGGACACAAGATGAGCAAAGTCCAACACAATCAGGCGCCGCAGAGGTGGGGGCCTTGTTTGCTAAGACTGATAAGGAAGACCAGGATCCGGACCAGAGACCAGACCAGAGACCAGACCAGAGACCAGACCAGAGACCAGTCTCAGACCATGTGACGTCATCGGACATGTTGATAAAACTGGGGGTAGGACGTTTTAAGTCAGTCTGAGCAGGGATAGTTAGACAGTAGGGGTGCAACGGTTTGAAAAAATCACGGTTCGGTTCGTACCTCGGTTCAGAGGCCACGGTTCGGTTCATTTTTCGGTTCATTTTTCAAAAAAAAAGTTTTGTCTTTTTAATAAACACGGCTCATGTGGACTCGGCACCTGCTCTGACTGCCCCCCCTGACCTAGAAATGAATTAAGGGGAAGGAAATGGATGGATGGATGGAAGGCATATTCCATCCATCCAATTATGTCTATTTAACATAATTAATGAAAAACAACACAAAGTGCAACATAAGAAGGCACTTTATGAGGATATTTACCCTCATATATTACACCACCTTCCTGATTCTCCCAAGGAGGCGCTCCATTCTGGGCCCAGCCTCATTCACTGCATTTATTAAATCTTTGGCATTATCAGTTGTGACTGGGATATTAGTACTGGGCCTTTGTCTTCCATTCCTCCGCTGCTTGTGTCAGTACCTGCGTTGTCTGACTGTGTGACTGTCGCAGAGGGGGCGTGTCTGCAGCGCCAGACTTTTCATCTCCCAGTCTGCGGTGATGAAGTGAGCGGTTCCGCTCATGGATC